CTTCTCTGTTATCATACTGCTATCTTCAGTATGTGGTTCTCTTCTCATGGTCCAACATGGCTGCTCAGACCCAGCCATCACACCCCCATTCCAGCCAACAAAGAGGAGGAAGAGCAAAAGGATGTACCATCTCCCTTAAGGATACTTCTGTTTATAAGCTGCTGGCTAGAACACAGGTATATGGCCATACTGAGCTATTGGGGCAGACAAGAAAGTAGAGTCTTTATTTTGAACAGCCATATGTCCAGCTAAAGGTCAGACATTTAAGGAAAAACAGAAATAATTATTGAGGCACACGAGCAGTTTAGAGATTGGGATTAATCAGGATTTGCTGCACGGTCCTAGCTGAGCTGATTATGAATAAGGAGTTTGTCAAAAAGATAGGCGTGGTACATTATAGACCCCTGCAAACTCTGCCATTCATTGCATCAAGAAGCAAAGCCTATTTCCCCTCTTCATGAATCTAGGCTGGTCATGTGACCTGTGCTGACCAGTAGAATTTGGCAGAAGTGACATTGCACTACTTCCAAGGCTAGCTTAGGAAATATGTACTACTGCTTTCTACTCTTGGAACCCAGCTACCATGGAGGAAGTCTGTCTTCCCTGGAACTTAATGCTGCCGTGAGAAGGTCCGAGTTGGCCATGTGGAGGGAGAGAGACCACGTATGGGAGCTCTGTGGCATCACACGGGGGAGTAAAGTCTCAGATCTCCCAACCCAGCCCAGACACCACCGAGTGCAGCCGAGTGAAGACCGTGGGCAATGCCACGTGAAGCAGAAGAACCAGCCAGCTAAGCCCTGCCCCAATTCCCAACTCATGGAATCATGAGCAAATAAATTGGTTGTTGTATGAAGACACTACGTTTCAGAGTAGTTGTTATGCGGCAGCTGATAACGGAAAATACACAGGGGAGGCTGCTTTAGGGAGAGAGACAACATAAGAAAAGACACAACGGTAAGGGGCAATCTGATGTGTGCAAGGAATTCTATGTAGTTTGAGACTCTGTGGGGTGAAACGACCCCAAGGAAGAAAGCAGGAGGGTGGACACGAGGGTCTGGTGGGTGCCATCGTAAAGAGGGTGGAATCAGGACCCTTCCCAAGAGCTGTATCAAAGAATTGACTGACAGAAGGTTTGCCATACAGACCCCCCTCACAGCAGGGTTCAGGAGCCATGAGGCCTCTCTTGTCCTAACATGTGGATCTGAGGACGGGCGTCCTGGGCTGCATTTGAGGAGAGAGAAGGTGTGGTTACTTGCGTGCAGTGATGGGTGGGTTTGTATCAGGTGCCATGAGGAAAGGCTTGGGGGTTAAAGCAATGGGCATATTTCATTTTCTAATGAACTTATTTTATACTAAAATAACTCCTCTTTCTTGCTGATCCTGTATTCCTGGTGGCTGGATCTTCAGGAACTAGACAGCTTGCTTCTTCTGGCCCCAGGAGGGGAATGGGAATGGGGGGAAGGGTTGGGTGTCGAGGAAAGGACAAAGCAAACAACCTGACTGGACTTGCATTCCCTAGGCTGGGCTCAGGGTCATGTCCTCCACGGTATGTGGCATGTTCCATCTTCATTTCTGGTCGGGAAGAAACAACGGATTATAAAAGTTTGTTTTGATGTTGCCTTCATGACTGAGGCCAAATGTCAAGGCCAAATGTCTCCCCTCCCTTGTAGGCACAGTAGGTTGCATATCACTCTGTTCTAGAGCCTTTGGAAACATTTTCTGAACGATTCATCACGTGAAATCCATAGGGATGAATGTTTCGCCTTCTTTCTTTTCTGTACCTGTTAGGAATGTGTTGGGCTGCAAGCAAGAGGTAATTCACAGTTGCTTAACCTCAGAAGGCATTCTCGAACCGCAAGAGGTCTGGAAGGGGACAGACCTGGGCTGGTAGCTTAGATCGCCATCGTCACCAAGGATGCATTGTCCTATTTCCTGCTTCAGCAGCCTCGGCAGGAAGCCTTCATGGTCATCGTGACTCCCTGCTGCCTTTTCAGGCACCAGGTTCATGTTCCAGGAGGAAGAAGAGTCTGTGCCAGTCGGGTCTTTCCTCTTTAAAGATTCCCTCCCTGGGACTTCCGTTTACCTCTCTCCAGGGTGAAATGGATCTCATGGCTGGATGGCCAGTCCACAGAGTCCTTCCCAGGGCCTAGCCACTCTCACTGTCCTGGGTATCTGAAGGGCATATTTCTGAGGCCTGTCTTAGTTGCAGCAAAAACACATGTTCTGCAGTGAGCTGTAGCATAGCTTGCTTGAAAATATGGAGCACATTTTTCTGGGTCCATGGATAACAGAGTAAAATTCCCCCATAGGGTGATTACTGGGATCCAAAGGACCCAATTACATATCATGTGGGGTTACTGTAAGGTTACAGAAATATGCTGAGGGGAGGAGGGACCAGGGAAGTCCCAGGTGGGAGTTTTAAGACAGGGTCCAACTTCACCTGGCTCAGCTGTAGCTTGGTGCCACCTAGTGGTCATTGTTTCCCCTCCGAACTATGCACTGTAGCTGCGGTTCTGGGACCAGATGGGGGATCCAGGACTGTGGCTGGGTTTAATCAGTGTGCTGTGGGGAGAGTGGACCAGAAGGATACTGGACTGAGGGCAGCCATCCTCTGTCTCTTGGCTTGATGAAGGGGCTGCCTGACCCTTCTCTGCTTCATCTTGGCCTACCTGCCAAGGAGGATACCCAATCACATTTTGTCCCAGTTCATATTACTAAGTAAGTGCATAGCTCCTCCCTCCCTCCTTCACTCTCTCTTTCTCATTTATATTTATTAAAGCTGTATATTAAATGAGCTAAAGTTGATTGATCATAAGTAGAAAACATGAGCCATTACCTTGAAGCACTCTCTATGGGCGATTTCCTTCCCTGACCTAAATGGAGCCTCTAGCATCTTCCAGAGCTTTTCTGGTCACTCTCAGATCATGAAAAGGTGTCTGGTCACTTTCATCACAATGCTAGCCTCCTATCTGCAAGTGAACAGTGTGACTAATGATCAAAATCTACAACTTCAACCAATATTACAGCTTCCTCCCTCCCTGGCACGCAATGAGGAGGGGGGTGTGTTCAGTCTCTTCTCTGCTCTTCCCTCTCCCATTAGCTGTTGTTTCTGAGCTGGGGCAGGGGTTGTGGGGGGGTGTTACTCCCTTTTATCTGTGCTCTGGTGATTTGATTCTGGTGCTCTCTGGCTCAGTCACACTCAAAGTTGATTCTTGCACTCAAGGGGTACTTTTGTGGGTGTTTTGGAGATTCTTTGGCTGGTGTTCTCCAAGTGCAACTTACTCAAGGCAGGTGATAGATATCTCTCCTCCAGTTATAGGATGAATACAACAGGGGGTCTGTCTTCTGTATCATTTAGTTTCTCTAGGCAGCTCTCTTGGGCACATTCTGTTTGCAGAAATCTTCAAGTCCACTCTCCAAAGGTCCCATTAGCCCACAGAGGAAACAGTCACATGTTTCCCTCCCCACCCCCACCCCCACCCCCCGTAGTTGTTAGAGATGTGGTCAGCTTCCACAGCAGCCTTCCTCTTCTCTCTGTCTCTTTTCCTTCTCTGCCCCCGGGGGCCTTCTAGCCACAGCTGCTCCAGTGCTCATTGCACAGCCCTGCTTCCCCCACTCCAGAGGTCAAAAGTTCTCTGAGCAGTCAGTCCCCTGGGAAATGCTTTCTCCTCTGAGAGAGGAGAAATGCCACTGTGACTCTGCAGAGGAAGCTTTTAACTTGCACCTTCAAGCTTTTCATATGTTTAAGATGGGGACTGGCTAAAGAAACAAAAATCTGATTTCAGATTTCTGTTCTGCAAGTCCTTCATCATGTGTGATCCTGTCCCTGTCTTTGGAATGTGGGGTACGTGGCTGTCATTCATATAAACTTATATAAACTACAATGAGAATATAAAATGTAACGTGAATGGTGGCCCTGGAGGAGGGAAACTGTGGCCCTGAATGTATTATCCTTGGCTGTTGGAGCACCAGGTGAATCCCGTTACATGTATTAGCAATAATACAGCTAACACAAATTGTTGTCATGTGCTGTGCACTATTTTAGGTGCTTTACCTATTTTATTTCATCCACCTGACAATCCTACAAGATAGATGCTACTACTCATGACTGTTTTACAGATGAGTCGACTGAAGAACAGACTTATTGAGGTTACACAGCTAGCAAGGGACAGAGCTAGAATTCAAACGCAAAGAGTATGGCTCCCACAGTTCAACTCCATCCATACATCTTGCCTGAGGGTATCACTTGTCTCCACGTCATTCTGTGGCAGGCTGCGGATGATACCCCGTGGACCCTGGAGTTGTGGCAGAAGTCGCTCATATACCACCCTGCCACTTAGCAGCTGTGTGGCTTCGGATAAGTTACGTAAACTTTCCTGAATCTCAGCATCCTCATCTGAAGATAGTAATACTACCTGACAGAGTTGTTGCGGGGGATAAAACATTTATTTAATTTTCCTATCTTTTGGCAAAGGGAAAGGAGTCAAAACTTCATTTCGAAACTTCAGTAAACTTGAAACTATCAATCCTACGTCGAACCCCGTGGCAAGGAGGTCGGGTGACCTAAATCGTTATTTTAAGTGAATGTCTATAGCGTGCCCGGCACTCGCTAGTATTGGTTTTCACTCCAGTGAGTTCAGTACCTTCTGCCCAGGTCATTCTCTCCCTACCAAGCCCTGCTGATCTTGGAGAGGTTCGGGGGCAGAGCGAGGGAGAAGAGGGCACAGTTCCGCCGTCAGATCATCTTGGGCCATTGTTGACCCTCTTCTGCTTAAGGAGAACTGTGGAACTGTGGTCCCGAGGACACGGCAGGATCCAAACAAATGGTGATTAATAGTTACATCTAACGATAACCGGTCCTGACAAGGTCCTCGGGAACTGGGTCCGCGCTCTGGGGTCCCGGGAGGGTCATTTTTTTCTGCCGGAACCATTCTGCCCGGGCCGGGTTCCCGCCCGGAACTGCAAAGCCGCAGGCCAAGGGCCGGAAGCGCGCATTCCCACAGCGCAGCGTGTCCTGCGGAGGGAGGGAGCGCGAGCCGCGCCGCGGAGGACGGGCGAAGATGGCGGCGTTCTCCGGTGCGTCTGCGCAGCGCGGGCTGGTGCGGGCGGCTCGGTCCACGCCTGGGCTTTCGGGCAGCTGGCGGGAGCCTTTGGGACGGGGGCAGACAGGCGCCGCGCGGTGCAGGAGGGAGCTGTCCACGGCGGTGCCTTCGATCCGCGCGCCGCGGGGGCACAGGAGTTGGCCCGGAGGGGCCGGCCCTGCGTGCTCAGGGTTGAGGTTAACGCCTGGTGTGCGGGCTCCGTCCTCCCGGGGCCTCCCCTTGCTGTCTCTCCCCTACGGGTCTGCATTCGGCTGTCCCGCCGGGGCCCCGCAGCTGCTCGGACGGTGCGGCGGCGGCGGCTCCTGGCCGTAACAGTTCTCCGCTCCCGGGCCCCCTGCCTGTCGGACGTGGCAGTGGTGTCCGGGAACACTGTACCGCTCAACCGCGCTGGAGAACAGTGGCTTGGCCAGGCCGACTGGCCGCAGGGCGTGGGGAGGGCTCCTTTGGCAAAAAGACTCTCCTGGCTCCGTCCGGTTTTTTTTTCAGGCCCTTCTGAAAAATAAACGTCCCAGACAGAAACCTGTTATGTTTGTTCTTAAATGCTATCATGTCAACATCAATGTTAAATAGTATGGAAGCTAGGAGGGAACGTGTTTTCATTCTCATGCATACTAGCGTATTATAAATTTTGAAAACTAATTACTTGTATGATATCCTCCTGTATTGCAAACAGGAATTTGAGGTAGCATATGTAACCTAACAGTTGTTACTTTTACCTCTTTATCATCATCCGTTTATACATTTTAAGAAGCTGTGGTAAGCCTTTCATACAGTTAAACGTGGTAAATTTACATAGCAGTAAGTGTATCAAGTTAGGCCTACTATTTTTTAATGTTCTTAGTCTATTAAGATGACTTCAAATGTTATTGTGCTTTTTCAGTTTGCTCATATAAGGACATTAGTAATTCCACATCTTGAGCCATGAGTCGGGACTTCTGATTGTTGTAGTTGCATCTCATAATATGAGGCAAGGGGAAATTCACTCACTGGTAGCTAATTTTTCCCCCCGAAGCCCTCTCCCAGAGCAAGATTTTAGAGCCCAGGTGTGTAGAGCAGTTCCAGGTTGTCATTTTATAGGTTCCCTTGGGTGAAGGCTTGAAGAGTCTGTGAAGTAAAGACAGGTGTAGAATTCAAGAACTTGATTATCCCTATTTTTTCCCTAAGTGTTAAAAACGTTATATTTAAAGAAAACATAGTTTCACAGCAAACATGCAGAGAGCATGACCAGAATGGAACAAGAAGGCTGGGGTTTGCTGAAAGCAGGCTGTGGTTGCTGCTCACGGTATGTAACCGTTTAGCACGCTGCTTGGGCGTAAAGTGTGCAGCCTGATTGAGACCATCCCTCTTTGTTCCCGCGGTCTGCTTTTCAGGAGAGAGAATCAGCTGGAATCTAATGAGGACCGTTTGTTCTTAGAAAGTCGGCTTAGATATACAGTTTTAAATCTTGATTAAGTTTTTCCATCTGTGCATTTTTTCTGGGAAGATTTAGAGTTAGGAGAGCCTTTCTCTTTGAAAAAGATTTTTAGCCCTGGCTGGTGGGGCCCAGTGGATTGAGTGCGGGCCTATGAACCAAAGGGTTGCCGGTTCCCAGTCAGGGCACATGCCTGGGTTGTGGGCCAGGTCCCCAATAGGGGGCACACGACAGGCAACCACACACTGATGTTTCTCTCGCTGTCTTTCTCCTAACCCTTCTCCTCTCTCTAAAAATAAATAAATAAAACTCTTTAAAAAGAAGGAAAGAAAAAGATTTTTATACTTTCCCACGTCATCTATGTTTATATTAGCTAGCTTACTATATAAAAGTGTAGTGTTCTATCCATTGTGTTAATTGCTGGTATGATTCTTTTCACCTGAGGCAAAGAAAAAGCTACTTTTGCAATGGATATATTCAATTTGTAGATTTTATGTCTTTTCACAAACAGTTATAAGAAACATAAAATTTCCAAATTGGTTATTTTAGTGGCTTGGGAATATTTGAGTATTATTAATTTTTAATAGGCATACGAGGTCTGTCCAGAAGGTACCCAGCCATGTAATATGAAAAATGGAGACATTTATTGAAGAAGATACAAGATACAAAGAACATTGTACATAGGATAATGACGCCTCAGTCCTCTTCAAAGTAGGCACCTTGGGACCTCACTAGACTCCTAGTCACCATCGGCTATGCTGTTGTATTTTCCTGAATCAAATTGGTGGTCTGAAATCTCTTCCCTTTCAAAGATGATTTTAGTTTTGAGAAAAGCCTGAAGTTGCAGGGTACCAAATCTGGGCTGTAGTGGGGCTGAGTCACATGGCTGATTTGATGTTTTGTCAAAAAAACTCTGCACCAGATGTGATGCATGAGTGGGTGCATTGTCGTGATGAAGCTGTCAATCACCAGTTGCCCATAGCTGCAGCCTTCTGCATCATCCCTATGTATCTAGCTGTGTATGTATAGGGAAACTGTCCCTATAGTTTCTGTGGAGGAGTGTTCAAGCTTAACACAAAATTTCTTGCAGATTCATTGCTGCACTCGCTCAGTCATTTTGAATGTGATGCCACACAGTACACACGCTCACTCAACGGTGGCTACTGCCCTCACTGACTAGTACAGTGAAGTTGTCATTGTTCACACATGTGCATTCCAGTCCACTCTCCTTGGCTGCCAGGTTACATCAATGTGCACAAACTGTTCTTGTTATATTAACAGTTGTTGGGCTTTTTTTGTACAGACCTTGTGCATACTTTTGTAATAACAATGAAAGCTACATTTTTATATATGCAGACAAAATAAAAATCACTTCTTATTGGGAAAGGAGCTGTAAGTAATCCAACTAACTACCCTCTACAGTTCATTTGAGAACTGGTAAAATGAGAAAATCCAACCAGAAATCATTCATTCATTTAGGACTGGCTTTGATGTAGAGTTATTTAAATATGTGAACAGTTAAGAACAGAGCAGTTCTTCCTGTGACATTCCCAGTGACCCAAGACTTTGCCACTGGCCCCTTTCTTTTCCATTAACTAGAGTTTTGATTATGGCTCTAACAAGTGTGATGGGAAAATAAAAATGAAAAAGAATAAATGTGGGCTCTCCGGGCACATGAATTTCCCGTCATCTCTAGACGAAACAGCCGAGGTGCCGGTCTGGAGCCGGCTCTCTAACTGGCAGGGTTTTCATTAGTCACAGGGACGCTGGCGGTCACTGTGTGCGAAGTGACAACTGTGTGCCAGATGTGCGACCTAGTATCCGTGATCTTCCTGGATCCCTACGCGTAGGTAACGTCAGCCCTGTTTTGTGTGGAAAGAACAGGTTGATAATTTGCACAAGGTAACATGGCTTGTGAGAGCTTGGATTTGAACTCGGGCCTTTCTCTACGACTTGCACCCTGTCAGCAGCGCCAGCTCCGGAGGGGCCGTGTAACTGGGCTGTGCTTCCCAGCCTTCTCTCTGTTCTACGGATGATAATTTTAAGAGCAGTATGGTTTCAGTTTAGTATATGTGGTTTCTAACATTAATTTTTATTTTCAGAGATGGGTGTTATGCCGGAAATCGCACAAGCCGTGGAAGAGATGGATTGGCTGTAAGTTCACGAAGCTTAAGTGTATCTGCAGCGACAATGCATTATAATCTAAACAGTTCTTTAAATATTACCAACTATTTTTGGGTGTAGCTGGCTAAATGAAATTCAGTTTTTCTTGTGATTCTCTAACTGATAGAACGTTTCCTTTTTAAACTTTGCTGTGTTTCTAGCTGAAAAATGTTGGTAGTATTTACCAAATAAAATTTTCATTTAGGATTATAGTTTAATATGCCTTAATTATGTTAGGTGTTTTTTCTTTTTACTAACTGAAATTTTTCAAAATATGGTTCTTTTAGTCTCCCAACTGATATCCAGGCGGAGTCCATCCCGCTGATCCTAGGAGGCGGCGATGTGCTTATGGTACGTGTGAGGGTGGTGAGCCGGTTGGGGGCCAGGGACGCACCCTTTGGGGGCTGATTGTGTACCACTGTCGGAGCTCCACGGGCTTAAACATGATTTTTCACTAAATTAATTCCACTTATGTGCATGCATTTAGGATACACGCACTGTATTCAAATGCAGGTAGAGGCTGCGGGGAAAACAAAGGTGCACGAGATGCAGTTTTGCCCTGGAGAAGCTCACACCCGGCAGCGCAGGGACATGTGCACGCAGATAGTTGTCGCAAAGAGAGAGCGTGGCACTGGGGGAAGGGATGCAAAGTCCCCCGGGGTTCCGGGGGGGCGGCGGCTACCCTTCTGGAGGAGGGGGTCACAAGGGACTCTTCCTGGAGGAAGTAGATTTTGGACGAGGGAGGGTGAAAAGGGGACGATCTCCAGGTAGAGAGTTCGTCGGTGAGAACAGTGAAGAGGAGAATGCAGGTTTGGTCCTGGGGTCGTTCCGTTAAATGGAAGCATGAAATACGTGTGTCTGGTGGGGCAGAATGTGAGATGAGGTGGTGGATACACAGTGGCTCAGATTGGGGTTCTCTCTTGAGTCCTGTAAAGGAATGGGGTGTTTGCTGCCCCTGGGGATCATGGGAAATTTCATGTAGAGATGTGTTACGTGGTTAGAATTGTGTTTTATGAAGACTTATTTGGCCGTAGCTTGTATAGTTCTGAGAGCTTAGATACTGTTACGATACTTCTGTAACCTAGGCTAGAACGATGAGGTCTTAGGGTGAGTGGTAGCACTGGGGAAAGAAAGGGGAGACCAGGTTGTTCCGGGCGTAGGAAAGTTGTGGCAGGACTGGCAGTGGTTGCGGTCGCCCGAGCAAACCTGAGTCATCCGGAGTCACTGTGAAAGGAAGGCCAGCTAATGGGGGAGATTCCTGCGTGGTATCGTTAGTTAACTTGACCTCTTTAATTGACAACTGAATTTGTAAAATCAACTTCTTTTTCCCATTTAGGCTGCAGAAACAGGAAGTGGAAAAACTGGTGTAAGTAATAAACTTGAATTGACTGACTTCGTGAGAGTTGATTTTTAAAGCAACTTTGAAGGGTCGTTTTGACGGGGAAATGTTTAATAAAACAACCTCCTCCAGAATGTGACACATTGATTGCTTGCCACTGAGAGTGATGTTTTTACTGCTAGCTAATTCTGAACTCCTGTGAGAGTGTGGCGTTAAGAATATAAGCTCGTTTGGAGAAACGGTTCATTATCTTCAGTGTCTACAGTCCCTTCTGGAATTCACTGCAGTGGCTCTCACAGTGAAGGTGTTGCAAATAGGGGTCCATCTCCCGTTGCCCCAGACAAGGGAAACAGTGCGTCAGGCTGGGTGGTATCTTTCCTCTTTCGTTCAGGTTCATTCATCAGGTTTCCGTTCTGTCCTTTTCGGGGGATGTGAGCTGCCTCCCGGTACCGTCACTCAGTCAGCTCTCTTGTGAATCTCACTGGCATTTTGGGTTTGGGCAAGTAAAATTAGAGTGGCGATCCGGAATACGGGTGATTGCTCTCTGTGCCTCGAGCACAGCTAGGGGGTGTGCTGGTTGTGCCGCCGGCGCTGCCGTCTGGGTGCCGCTGTGCGAGCTGGCTGCCGTGTCTTCGGCAGGCCTTCAGTATTCCCGTCATCCAGATCGTGTACGAGACTCTGAAGGACCAGCAGGAAGGCCGGAAAGGGAAAACGACCATCAAGACTGGTGCTTCAGGTATGTCTGCACGTTAACATGTTTCTTCCGTGTAAATTGGCAGCTCTCGTCGCTGGCACGTACAGGTGTGAGGTGGGGTGTGGGTGGTTGTTGTCAGTGTCCGGGGGTGGCATTGGCGTGGGGCACACTGGCAGCAGGGCGCTAGGTGTCCTTCAGAGCTTCGATGACAGTGAAAGGGCGTCCCTCCTGAGTGCCAGTGATGCTCGTGGGAAATCTCTAGAGTTGGGGAATTACGTTTAGTTGTTTTTATGTTTTCATTAACTTCACACCTTTCATTTAGTTAGGTTAATATTTTTAGCTTGATGTCTTTTTGTGCCTAATACTAAGTTAGCACAGTGTTTTACAGAGGTATTGAGGAAGGATTTTTACAAATAATTGATGGAGTAAGAACTAATGGTGATGGGAAATACTCCTTTCACAGGGAAAAGAGGCGCATTTATCCCTTTAAGATAAGAAAGGAGGAGCTCAGGAAGTTGAAATGTAAAGTGGAAATTTTAAAGGCAGTTTATTTTCAGCTCTGTCTGCGTGGAGATGGTTCCTGTACTCGGGCGTTCGGTCCCGCCTTTACCGTGCACAGTCCTCCCTCAGACTCCTCTTTAAATCTTGCTGCTTTGGTTAAATAGTTCCCGAATTCCATTCTGTCTTGAGTAATCCATGGTTTGGTTATATTTTAACACAATTTATTCCATATTTTTTAAGTCACTTTTGTTTCCTAATGCTAAGTGGGATTGTAGCAAAATTATAAGCTTAAGCGGAGTGAATCTGGCACGTCAGCACTTTCTCCTCAGCAGTTGGAAAGTGACAATGTGATACACGTGGTGAAATGAACTCATTTGTAAGTGAATGGTGAGATAGATAGTGGGTATGAACTGTTTAGACTGTGGGCCTGTTCAAAAATAATTTCAAAATTTGTAATAATTCTAAATCAGCATTAATGAGAGGTGGTTATAAAAGAGAACGCTTCCAGAGAGTAACCAGAATGGAAATAGTTCCAGAAGGCATGTTCTATGGGGAATAAAGAACCTGGGTATTTAAACATGGAGGCACAAGTAATAGAGATAATTGTTAAACCACTGAAAGGATTCGGGGAGAAAATAATTGTTCGATAAAAAGGAGGACCAGGACTAATTAGAAATAGTGCAGGTGAAGGTTTCTGTTTAACTTCTGAGTAGCTAGCCTGAGCCAACAGTGGAAGAGAGAACCTCAAGAGAAAGTTCTTCATGTTCCGAGTGTTTGAGCAGGTGCTAGACGTCGTTTGACCAGAAACTGAGAAGGGGTTTTCTACCCTGGGTGGGAAGTTGGGCCTGAGAACCTGCGGAGTTCTCTGTGGCTGTGGCAATCCCCTGATTATCCGTGTACTGTTGACATGTGGAAAAGGAAAATGCTGATTCCATTAAAGTAAGGAGGAAACATTTTGTGACTTTAGAATATGTTACTGAATTTGAGATGAAGGGCTTTTTAAAAAATGATAAAGTGATAATTAGATCTTGAGATGTTAGTTACTTTTGTTATGGTCGAAGGCAGCCAGAGCTTCACTGTCTCAGAGCGCTGGCAGTCACGGCGAAGGTCAGCGCTGTCGGCCGCAGAGGGCACTGAGGGGGCGGGGGGGGGGGGGGTGGTTCCTGCCCACAGGGGCCGGCGATCGTCGCCTTCAGGCTGTCCCGTTTTCCATTTCAGTGTCGCAGCTAATAAAAACAGCCACACTTCTGCTTGTACATTTCAGATAATGTGTAAGATTGAACCTAGAGGAATTGTTGTATGAGATATAAAATGCATGCTTTAGTTTTGATAAAGTGCTTTTAATGTCATACATCTGTTGGTGACCGTTCTTACTTTAATTTGTTCAGTGCTCAACAAGTGGCAGATGAACCCGTACGACAGAGGATCTGCTTTTGGTGAGTGGACAGATTTCAGCAACTCATTTATAATTCAGGAGCTTGTTTTTAATAATACCTGAGAATATCAAGAAAATAATGAATGTTAAGATTTAATTTACTAAATTTTAGAATGTAGTCACTCCAGTTTCATAGTTTAGTACGACATAGGAATAGACAGTCAATGGAATATAATGGAAATAGATCGTAGTATGTATGAAATGTTAATATGTGGAAAAAGTATTATATTTCAGTGGGAAAAAGGATCATTCATTAAGGGTTTCAGCACAATTGATGATCCATCTGGAGTAACATGAAATTGATGTCTAAATCAGTTTCATCTCATGTCTAAAAACAAATTCTTTAGGACTTAAATGTGTATGTGTGTATAGTACATGAACAATTTAGGGGTGGGGAAGTTCTCCCAATCCAAATAGGAAAGTCAGAAATTTTAAAAGAAAAGATGTACGTATGTTTGTGTAAAAGTCTAAAAAATACAAGTGGAAAAGATGTCACAGGAAAAAATCAAGAGACAGTAAATACGGAGAGAATACTGAACTGGCGATGAAAGGAGAAACCCTTGTAAACTGTTGTGGACTTCCTGTGCAGATAGATGCTTGTTTTCGTTCAGGAAGAGACAAACAGCCGGTGATGAGAGTGGGCAGGGAACGTGATCGGGCAGTTCACTGCAGGGCCAGTCCGAAGGGCGGTGCCCGGGCGGTATTCCAGCTTACAGGATGCAGGGAAATTACAGTTACAGTGAGATGCCATTCTGTACCCGTCTGACTGACATTCATCCAAAAGGGTGGTACCCAATAGAATTACTGCCGTTTTGGGAGGCAGTTTGGCATTACCGATTGAAATGAAAAAGTGGGTACATTCCCAGAAGGTCTGACCCTTGGGGATGAAAGTCGTGGCACGCAAGGGTCCCCACGCAGAGCTTTTGGGTGGCGCCTTGTTTACAAGGGAAACTGCCGGCAGAGCGAAGCCTGGTGCTGAGAACGGGCAGCAGAGATGAGGGTGTTAGGAACTGTCACAGAAAGCGAGTCGGCACTCTGTGAGTGAGCGATGGAGTTGGGGGGACCGTCACGGGGGCTGAAAGTGAGTCGGCACTCTGTGTGTGAGTGATGGAGTTGGGGGGACCGTCACGGGTGCTGTCAGGAAGGGCAGGGTGCTGGGAGATGCAGGGTGGGCACAAGGGAGGGACCGGGACAAAGACAACCAGACAGGCAGAACCCCCCCCAACTGCTGCTCTCCACCATGGGGTTCGTAGTGGAGTTCATATAGGTATGTATGCATGCTGAGTTTTAAATGTAAACATTTTAAGGGTTTGCCATTGCTAAAGAACTTTTTAAAAAGTTCAGAGTTTTCTATAATGTAGTGTCCTTTGAGTAAGAATTTATACTTTGAGTAAATAATTGAATTTCTGGTAAGTGGAGTAAGATGTGTGATGAGGTGCCTTTTTAAAAAGTGTGTTCCACAGTCAGTTGCTGCATATGCGTGGCAAGCCTGAACCAGGACAGAAGTTACTGTTTCTTTGTGCTAGAGACAAAAGTTAATTCATTTAAAGCCATTAAGCACCAGTCAGCACTGACCGAGCCGTGTAATGTAGAACTTCATCTTTCAGAGTTACGATATTATTAAACAACAGCTACTGGTTTGCTTATTTGTGCTTTTTTCTGCTCTCCGTTCATGGTGCCTGGTCGCGGGGCTGGGGGCAGGCCAGACGCAGTTCCCGTTTCCCTTTGAGTGCAGTGTTGGCTCGGGCCCTGATTGAGGCGGAAAGTGAGGGCAGCGAGGATTTTGGAGTGGGTGCTGCGTCGTCCGTGAGGGTCCGTTTCTGTGAAGAGCTCGGACGGCAGGTGTCCAAGCACGTTTGTGTTGGTGACGCAGCCACTGTTAGTGCCAGTTGGGTGCTGTTCTGAGTCCTCTCTGGACTTGTTGCGGTAAAATCTTGCCCTGGTGAAGAGATGACCATAGAAACCGGTCCCCGGCGTGGCTGGGGCCTCCAGGGGATGAAGAGGGGACTTGGTCACGGGGAAGATTCTGCTGTCACTGTCACTCAGCAATCGGCACACCTCGTTACCTGGAGCAGTGCAACCAGTGAAGGCACTGCCGCATTGGTGACACTGAGTGATACGCTGGGACGCATGGTTTACATAATGATCTGCACCGCGTGGTGGTCTGTTTCTCTCGCACGCAGCCATCGGGTCGGACGGGCTGTGCTGCCAGAGCAGAGAGGTGAAGGAGTGGCACGGGTGCAGAGCCACCAAAGGGCTGACGAAAGGTACGTGGGAACTTGCGACGGAATGTCCTAGTAAATGAACGTCCTTACTGTAGCCCTTTGTCAGGGGTCTGAACAGATGTTTAATGTTGCAAGACCTAAACTCTTCATCTGGATCGCACCAGCTGTAGTTCAGAAAGGACGGGACAGCAGTGGGAGGTGCGCGCACCGCGGGCGTGGTCCGACGGACCCTGACGCCCCGCTCTTGCAGGGAAGCACTACTACGAGGTGTCCTGCCACGACCAGGGGCTGTGCCGCGTCGGGTGGTCTTCCATGCAGGCTTCCTTAGATCTCGGTGAGTGTCTCCGAAGCAGACGGGGTTTATTTGTTTGTACTTGTGAACTGTTAACGTCTAGTGTCGTGGGGAACAAAGTAATGAACTTGACCGTACAGAGTGTGTATTTTAGAGACACGGAAATAATATTTATCTGTACCTCAGTCTGTTCCAAAAGAGATTTGAAGTCCCAAAAAGTGTGTAACAGCATGAAATCGGGACGCACAGGTAAAGAACGTGAGTCAGGAGTGAGAGTCAGGTTAGTGGCGTGAACACACACCACACAGTGCTGCAGGGATTGGGGGGGGCCTGCTGTCACTCAGGAATCAGCACGCCTCATTATCCGGAACACTGCAGCGAGGGAAGGGACTGCCATATTGGTGATTTAAGTTGTTACAGATTCGTAAACCTCGTTTATAGGGCTTTTAATTTTATGTTTACTCTCACCACATAAGTAATACAATTTTTAAAATCTAGGTACTGACAAGTTTGGATTTGGCTTTGGTGGGACAGGAAAGAAATCCCATAATAAACAATTTGATAATTATGGAGAGGTAAGTTGTTTCATTGACTTAACTGTGGCATTAGTGAGTTTTCTTGTGTGCTTACTTGATCACCATGACATGACTGAAGGTATAGAAATGAGTCTCAAATTCAAGTGCATTATCTGTATGCAGGCGTGGGCAAAAGTAGGTTGATAATAATAAGCGATGTACAATAATTAATGCAAGGATAAACTTTCACGTACTCAAAACTGTGAACCTACTTTTGCCCACCCCTGTATCATCCGCTGGTACTTCGGATTGGACTTCGGTGAAGGAATGCTGCGAAATTTAGGCCATCCAAAATAAACTATTTGGTCTTCTGTTTTTACCCCATTTTGATGTGGGCTTTGACTTTAATACGTGTTATTCTCATTTCTTATTTTCAGTCATGGTAATCTAAACATACTTGTTCTGGTGAGTCCAAAGTCATGTTGACTCTAAGAAGCCTTGCAGACATTTTTACTGTTCTACGTGCAAGGGCAGGAGTAGGCATTTTTAACAACTGCATCAGAGCTTTGAGGAAGTGTTTTGAACCACTGACACTTTGATGCAGGCGTATTTAAACTTTTAACATTGTTTAAGGATCTGCATTCCATTAAGAGCTCTTGGCTTTCTGGTTTCCTAGGAGTTCACCATGCACGACACCATCGGGTGTTACCTGGATATAGACAAAGGGCATGTCAAGTTCTCCAAAAATGGTAAGCTTTCTGTGGATCGTCTTGTTCGGGAAGGTGTATTGGTGGTTTTTAATTCTCTCACCCTCTTCTTCAGTTCCCTCTCCCTCCCTCTCCGCCGTTTTTGAACAAACACTTGCAGAGTGTTTGTTGTGTGCCAGGCACCCTGGCAGGTGCTGGAGATTGAGCAAAAAACGGAGTAGACGACGTCTACTTTTGGGGGGCTTCCCTGCTGGCGGGAAGAGACCAGCAGATAGCTAGTGTGTCAGGTGGGAACAGGCGCACGGAAGGAGCGTGTGCATCAGGGGAAGGGGTGGACAGCGACGGCGGTCTGGGGGTGCGCTAGTGCATATGGGGCGGCAGGGGAGGCCCCTCGCACGAGCTGACGTTTCAGAGAAACCTGAACAGTTGGGGGTGGGCCGAGCAGCTGTGTTGGAACAGTGTTTCGGGGAGGGGGGGGACGTAAACGCAAAGGTCCTGAGATGAAAGTGGGCTTGGGGATCTGGGGATGCAGGGAGGTCAGTGGGTCCGGAGCACACAGGCACGGGGGACCTGGTGCGGCCGGGCCATTGGGCCTTCTTGGTCACGATACAGATTTGTTACTTTGAGTGAGATTGGAAGCCGCTAGGGTGCTGAGTGGAGAATTTGCATCCTCTGTCTTTCGTTGACAGTATCCTTATAGTGGCTGTGTTGAAAACAGACGGGTGGGTGGGGGGTGGGGGCAGTAGCAGGGAGCCAGTCGGATGATAGGAGGTCTGCTGGGGACTTACTGAGTTTGGGACACTCACCGTCTGAATGGTGAGACCATGGAAGTGGTCAGAGGTGCAGCTGCAGGGTAAGCAGAGCGACGAGGCCGGCTGCAGGCAGCCCGTTGGCCCGCCGCAGCACGTGGGAAGCCTGGACGAGGGCCGGTACAGGCTGATGGTGAGCACGTGGAAGTTCCAGCGTCTTTGTCCTACTTTAAAGGAAAAGATCTTGGCCTGGCGTTTGAAATACCAGCACATCTGAAGAACCAAGCCCTCTTTCCTGCCTGCGTGTTGAAGGTGAGAATCCAGTCAGAAGAGTTTGGCTGTGCTCATTGCTGCTTTGATGGGCATTGTTGTGTATTTATTTGCTGGTTTGCCATTAGATTAAGAAATTTTCATTTTCTCCTTTATTCCATACTAGAATGCTGAACTAAAATTTAACTTTGGTGAAGAAGACTTTAAGTTTCCACCGAAAGACGGTTTTGTAGCTCTCTCCAAGGCGCCAGACACTTATGTTGTCAAATCGCAGCACACAGGTAATGCAGCTGGGGGCGCGGGGTGCAGCCTCCAGTAGGTAAGGCTCCTCCCAGTGAGTGAGTAGTGCATGGTCTCCTTGCTGCTGTAGGCCCACGTCTGCATTTAAACATCAGTAAAAGTCAGTTTCACAACCTGATTCATAAACTCTTAAGTGTCTGGTTTCTGTTGAGGCATTTTGGGGATGCCGGTGATGATGGTGTTTAGCATGTACAAGGAGCGCATATTAAGTGCCACAGCACTGAGTCAGTGCACAAAGATCGTGTAAGCCTCACTAGACCCTGTTAGGTAGGGCTCCTCCCATTTCACAAAGAACTCGAGGAGCAGGGACTTAAAGCAATCTGCCCAGGGTCGCAGAACCAGTAACTGGTAGGCCCGAACTCCAACGCAAGCGGTCTGACTCCAGAGGTCAGGCTCTTACCCAGGTACTGTCTAATCTGAGGTATTCGAAGTACTTTTCATAACTTACTTTATTCCAACACTTAACTGCAAATAGCTTTAAAGAAACCTTAGTTCATTTGAGGAATCTTAGCCGTCCTGAGTTTTGTTTGGCTGTCCCCTACACTTTTTGAGAACTGTTACTTACAGCTTTGATACTGTAACAGTGGCACACGCGTTGCACGACAGCGGTGCCCGGGGGTGTGCTGAGACTGGCCCGGTCCTCTCTGCCCGCCCCAGGCAGCGCGCAGGTGGCGCAGACCAAGTTCCTGCCCAACGCCCCCAAGGCGCTCATCGTCGAGCCCTCCCGGGAGCTGGCCGAGCAGACTCTGAACAACGTCAAGCAGTTCAAGAAGTACGTCGACAACCCGAAATTAAGGTAAAGCTTCTGCCTGTGTGAGACGCCTGCTGCCTCAAGGTTTGGGGTGTTTGGGGAGCACAGTAGGTAGAAAAAAGAAGGTAGAAATGCCATGGGCATGCATACACACATGTAAGCATGAGAATTTGCTGAACTTGGACATGTAGTAGCAATTAGCTTCTGTGTAAATCTGCCTAAGTGATAGGTTGGATTTAAAAGAAAAGAAAATTGAAGTTTTTTCCTGTGTCCCTCACATGAAGAGTCATGGTTTGCAGAACAGTGTCGGAGTAAAAATTAGTTTTTTAAACAGCATTTCATTCACTGTCAAACTCATTGCTTCATCCGCATAGGAAATAAATCACTCCCTTTGCAGCAGGGTGGTGGCTTGCTCTGCCGCTGGCTCTGGCCCGTCCCGCAGTGGTGGCCGTCTTCCGTTCGGCCACTCCCAGCGGTCACTGTCTCGTCAGAGGGCCCTTTCTAGTGTAAGCTCAGTGCTCTGGTGGAGCTTTTTGCTCAGTAGGGTCCCATTTAATTTGGGGAAGGCCGTATCATATAAGTAAATCTCTCTGTCAGTTGATTCACCGCTTGGTTTTTGTTCATTGTACTTTGGACTGCTTTCTTCCTGAAACACGATTCTCACCGTACAATTCACCCGGTAGAGTGTACGGTTCTGGTGGTTCTTTGTGTACTCACAACTCTGAACTTACTTGTGCCCCACGCTGTATTATTTGCGAATATTTTCTCCCATTCTGTGGGTTTTCTTTTTACACACTAGATGGTGTCCTTTGAAATGCAAAAGTTTTAGATTTTGATGTCAATTTATCTGTCTTCCTTTTTAATTGTTGCTTTTGTTTTTGGTGTTGTACATAAGGAGACTTTGTTTAATCCAATGTTGTGAAAATTTACTCCTGTGTTTTCTTCTAAGAGTTTTATATTTCTTGGTCTTCCATTTAGGTCTGTGGTTCATTTTGAGTTAATTTTTGGGTACGATATAAAGAAGAGGTTTAACTTCATTCTTTTGCATGTGCATATCCATTCTGGCACCATTTGTTAAAAATACTGTTCTTTTCCACCCATTGAATTACCTTGACATAAGACAGAATTTTTTAATCTAAACATTGTTTTTGAAGTATTTCGAATGAGAAAAATTTAAACAACCAGAGAATATCCTATTAAAAATATCTCCTTTCACCCCTTCGTCCAGTTTTTAGTTACTCTGCCTAAAGGCCACTTTCAGGAGGGGGCACCTCCATGTTGTTCCGGAGATGTTCTGCACACACGCAGCCACGTAACCGCACGCGTGTCTGCACAGGTGCGCGGAGGCAGGGCCCGGAGCCCCCGAGGCTCTGCACAGGAGGGCCGGCGTTCTGTGTGCCCCGTGCTTTCACAGGCGGCTCGCTCCCCACATGTCAGCACCTGCGGGGGTTCTTCCTCAGTTACTTACGTTAGTTCTCACCTGAAAGAAGTGGATACAAATCATGCAGTAAAGCGCGCTGTAATATTTCCCCACGTTGTTACTCTGGTGTTTATTTCAGGGAGCTTCTGATCATTGGAGGTGTTGCAGCTCGGGATCAGCTGTCTGTCCTGGACAACGGGGTAAGTTGTGCTGTTCGTTTTTAAAAAGTAACATCGTGGGTGGTTGTTTGGCAATGTAGTTGTGTTTCAAGAAAAATCAAGAGATGCTGAAATTAAAACAAGGGTAAAAAAGGGTAACACAGTAGTGCTTCAGTTTTCATCCAGAGCTTCTCTTGATGTTTTCCAGGTAGATATAGTCGTGGGCACCCCGGGAAGACTAGATGATTTGGTGTCGACGGGAAAGCTGAACTTGTCCCAAGTTAGATTCCTGGTCCTGGACGAGGCCGTATGTTGAAATATAGTTGTGCTTTTTTAAAGTGTTTGCTTTTATTTTTGGAGGTAAAATATGAAAAATGAATTAAAAATATAATTCAGTCATGATTTGAATACTTAGAGATAATCATTGTTACCTGTTCGGTATATTTTCATTCACTCCTTATATTTATGTAAATATTACTTTATGTAGTTGAAATCAAGCTTTCAACTTGAGGAATCTAAGAAATCTTTTTTTAACATATCATATTTCATGTTATTATTTGTAAAAGATTTTTAAAGGCTGTCTAATGGTCTATTATATATACTTTATTTAACTACGCCTGTTATTAAATATGTAGGTTTGTTTTTCTTTTAAGAGTTATTTATATTTGTACATAATTTTTACACATTACAAATGATTTCCTTATAGTTGCAAAATATGAAGGATATGAAAAGACATTAGTATGTTTGAGACATACTTCCAAATTACTTTCAAGATGGGTTGAAGTAATTTTTAGCACAGGCTTTTGTTTTTGTGTTCCACGTTAAAATTACATGCTTAAGGACATGTGGTAGGAGCTTTTGTGTGTATTTTAGAATGCTAGAGTATGGTTTTTGGATTTTTTATTGTCAGCTTTTTCATATTTTAGTTATATGGGATTTAAAGTTAAACTAATAACTTGTCTTTAAATATTTAATAGAAAATAATCGTTTAGAAAATACAGGGACATTTATCTGTGAATTAGTTTCCATATCTTACATGTTACATTTGTTTTAAAAAAGAAAGATTCAGATACCAATTTAAAAACCTCCTCTTTTCTTCGCTGCTTCTACAGGATGGGCTTCTTTCTCAAGGTTACTCTGACTTTATAAATAGGATTCACAGCCAGATTCCTCAGATTACCTCTGATGGAAAAAGACTTCAGGTAAAAAACAACTGGTCATCTTAAAGTTTATAATCGTTATAAACTTTTTTATAACACATAATCGTTATGTGTTAAAGTGTAATGTTTTATCTTTGATTTATGTCTTATTTTAGTGTTTTCTGATGAACTACTCCATAAACATTTTCTTTAGTACTTGATTAGTGCACACAGAGGAAACAGTCTTAAAAGGTGCTTTTAGAAATAAAGAAGGGAATTTCAGGAAATTACTTAGGTGTTATAGAAGACTGTAGTAAAATTCTTAGTGTTTTTTCCTACAGAGCGTTTAGAGTTTATATTCCCGATTATGAGTACTGTTACCTGTTTGCAGAAAAAATATCTTGAGCTGTTGAAAAACAGTTGCTTCTTTAGTAATTATGGCTTCAAATATTACTCTTGTTTTTCTCATCCTTCTCTTAGGGAGAATTCCATAGGTAGAAGCTTTTAAAAGATAGAGGTCAATATAGTTCAGATAAGCTTATAAGTTTTTAGGTAAGTCTAAAACTTAAAATCTTACATCTTCAGAACCTTTTCATCTTAGTTTCTGTAGGACCCTGAGGAACAGATGCCACGATTTCTGTGGCAGTGAGGGGACTGCAGCTCAGAGAGGCCAGCCTGCCCAAGGTCAGCCCGCTAGGGGCTGCTGCAGAGGGAGGCGTTGAACTTGTTTGAGTCCAGGCCAGCGCTTGGTGTGGCCCAATCAGTACCGTTGGTGGAATTATTGTTATGAAATAAATGTTTGTCTAAACGTTGATTTTTCTGTTCTTAGGTGATTGTTTGCTCTGCTACTTTGCATTCTTTTGATGTCAAGAAGCTGTCTGAGAAGATCATGCATTTTCCCACGTGGGTCGATCTGAAAGGAGAAGACTCCGTTCCGGATACCGTGCACCACGTCGTCGTCCCCGTGAACCCCAAAGCGGACAGGCTCTGGGAGAGGCTTGGGAAGAACCACATCAGAGTGAGTGCTTCACAGGGTTAACACCGCCATGGAAGAAAGCGGTCGTACACTCGCGCAACCTGGGGCTCCCAGTGATGCGCAGGACAACCAGCTGTTGTACCTGTGTCAAGAGAAGTCCAGCAGAAGTTCAGGGAACGTTTAGGCCTTTAAGGCATGGAATGAGTGATGGACTCATCTTATCTTTCTGTCTATATAAAGTTGCTTCTGATACAATTTTTATAAATAAATAGGGTTACTTGTATACAAGACCTGTCCGGAAAGTATCCAGCCACGCCCCCATGAAGAAGAGAGGCATTTACTGAAGAAGACACCAGATATGAGAAACACTGCACACAGGACACCGATGCCCCAGTCCCCTTCACAGTGGGCACCTTGGGGCCTCACACAGTTCTCCCAGTCACCATCAGCTGCCCTGTTGTATTTTTCTGAATCTCATCAGCAGTCTGAAATCTCTTCCCTTTCAAAGGTGATTTTAGTTTTGAGAAAAACCAGCAGTTGCAGGGCGCCAAATCTGGGCTGTAGAGGGCTGAGTCACCTGGGTGATTTGATGTTTCACCAAAAAAACTCTGCCTGAGACATGATGCATGAGCAGGCGCGTTGTTGTGATGAAGCTGCCAGTCACCAGTTGCCCACAGCTGCTGCCTTCTGAGTCATCCAAATAGTTTACACAGAGAATGTTCAAGCTTAATGCAAGATTTGATGCAGATTCGTTGCTCTGCTTGCTCGGTCATTTTGAATGTGATGGACACACAGCACACATGCTCACTCAACAGTGTCTCCGCCCCCACTGACTAGGACAGTGAAGTTGTCTTTGTTCACACATACACATTCCAGTCCACTCTCCTTGGCTGCCAGGTTGCATCGATGTTGTGCAAAGCATTCTCGTTATATTAACAATGGGTGGACTTTTCCCGGACAGGCCTTGTATATAAATCTAATTTCAGATACAGTGATTTCCATTTTTAGTATTTTAGTGTCTTCCTGATGAGCATTATTTCTTAAGAAAACCAGTTGCTTGTGTCCATTGTGTCAGTTCACCCACTGTTTAATTAGACTCCCCTTCATATAAGTGTGTGTTTATTGTGAATACACAAAATTCCAAAAACCACTTGTATTTTTATTACCACATTTAAAATTGGTTAGCCTTAGAGTTTTTTGGAATCTGAAGAACAGTATTGCCTGCAGGTCTCAGAGGTGAATTTCTGAAATGCTCTCAGTTTGTTAAAAAAGTGACACCTGTTCTGAACTCTTGCTTAGCCACGCCCCTCCCCTTTTCCCCTTCCCCTCTGTAGACAGATGAGGTGCACGCAAAAGATAACACACGGCCTGGAGCTAACAGTGCGGGTGAGTGGAAAACAGCAGCACAGTGAGCTGAAGGGTGTGGAGAACAAACTGGTTTGTCTGTCCTGGCTACCCTCTTGAAGAACTTGAGGTGATCTATAACAATAGAACAGGAAATCTGAAAATAAAAACAACAAAAATAATAAAGACATGGAACAGTAAAGAAACTAAATGAGCAAATGGGTTAGCCCACCATTTCACCCCGTCTTATTCTTGTTCCTGTTGCTATTACTTGAATTGAAGCACAGTTTTTTAAGGTGAGTTAAGCACTGAGGCTGTGACTAGTAACGTGTGTTCGTGACGGTGTTGGACTGAAACCCTGTTTCTTGTTGTCGCCGCCGTGCTGTTGAAGAGATGTGGTCCGAAGCCATCAAGGTCCTGAAGGGGGAGTACGCCGTGCGGGCAATCAAGGAGCACAAGATGGACCAAGCGATCATCTTCTGCAGAACCAAAATCGACTGTGACAACCTGGAGCAGTACTTCATGCAGCAGGGAGGAGGTAAGGTCTGCTTCCTTGGAACAGGTGGTGCTCGTTCCCTCCGTCACTGGGCTGTCGCTCGGGGACCAGTCTGACGCGCACGCAGAGCCCGAAGCGGCGATGCCGCGTTGTGTGTGCGAGTGCTGCCTCGGGCAGCAGAAGGGTAAAGATGAGCTGAAGAAAGGACGGGGGTAGACGGACCTGCGGCGAAGCAGGCCCGTCGACGCCACAGCCACCCCCTGTTAGAGTTCTTCCAGTCTCGCTGTCTGAACACACAGAAATTGGAAAATACGTAAATAAAAACGGGCAGCTGTGCAAGGTACAGACACATGCAGTTCTCATGCTGGGGTGGACGTTAGCACATCTCTGCCTATGATTGATGTACAGGAAGGAGATAGAAAAGTGGAAAAACTGGAACATTTAAGCAATTTAAAAGTTTGAACTAATGGTCATGTAAAGAACACGTTACGTCATCATCAGAGTGAACAGTCATTGACTGTTTTGTAAGCCCTGGCCAACACATTTGCTCTATGGTTTTAGTTAGAGTCACTGTTTTGTAATAAACGTTCCTTTCCGTCCACTTTAGTTCGGAGTGGGGGGTTTGATTGTGTGGTTCGGAATGCTGTTCATCAGTCAGTAATATCTTTCCGTTCTTCTTTCCTTCGCTAAATACTCTGGTTGCCTCTGCTAAGAAAGCAAGTTTCCCGAACCATTTCTAAAACGAAAATAATACATACCCAGTTCCATGGTTTAAGAGAGGGAAGGAAGGGTCCCTCCCCAGTCTGCGGGCACCTCAGCCGGGGCATGGGAGTGGGCTGCGTTTCCCTGAGCCACCTGAATTCAGCAAGCAGTGAGGCCTCGGCTGTGTGTGCCTTTGGAAGTTCTGGTTGGCAGTTCTGTCTCCTGCGTATGTAGTTTCTGTGTCCGTCATTTCGGGTTGGTATCTTCCAGAATGTCCTGTTTCCTTGAATCCTGTCACGGTTAGTCTGGGCGCGCTCGCAGTGCTGTCTGCAGGGTCTGCGGGGGCTGTCTGCCCTCGCCCGGGTCCCACTGCGCTGCTCTTTGTCCCTGTGTCTGTTCGAAGCGCTTCTTTTTAGGGTCGGCTACCACTGTGTCTGCCCCTAAGGGAGCACCTCTCCGTCTTTCCAATCTGGGTTGGCAGGAAGCCAGACAGCTGAGTTGCTTAGAACACCTTGAGGAGGGCAGGCCTGTGGACGTGACCCTTAGTAAGGGCATGGACTTCACGATGCCTATTTTGGGTCTTCTAAGAATAACCTCTCTTCACTTTATATGATATGGGTGAAGTTCTTGGAGTATACATGGATTTTCTTCTTACTACTGTGTTTTTGTTAGCACACTGCTTCATTTACTCCTGCAGGTTGGGAAGGGTGACTTAAAATGCCCTTCAAAGCAAGATCAGTTTTGGTGGCCATGGAGCCCATTTTCGTGGCACTGGGCCTAATTGTGTTAGCCGTGGTTGGTGGCAGGTGGGCATAGATTTCCATGGAATGAGGTGGTGCTGTCGAACCTGACTTCCACTGTTTGTTTTCTGAAGATCTCAGATGTCCTGTCTCCCGAGGTTGACTGGTTAATCTGCTTTTCCCTAGGACCGGATAAAAAAGGACACCAGTTCTCCTGTGTGTGTCTTCACGGTGACAGAAAGCCTCATGAGAGAAAGCAAAACTTGGAAAGATTTAAGGTATTGCTGTTTAGTTGTCTGCATTCCCTTAGGACTAAAGAGAGGAGTTGTATCTGGTTTTGATTAGTCCCAGTTAGTATGCATAATGCAATTCTTACCCTGCAAACTGCTCTGTCCTAGAAACTGCTGTGTCCTGTTCACGGCTGGGCGTAGCCGGCCTTAAGGTCGAATGGTAAATCACGCGTTTTCTCTCAGCACAACCCTGCTGGAGTAAGAATTTTCAGTTTAAGAAAGTTTCAGCTAAATTTGTAGCTCAGAGAGTTTAGATAAGTCCTGGGCTTACGCGCTAGAGTTTTGTTCTCACACTGTGAACTGAGTGGATGGAAGGGCCTCCGGAAGGGCCTCGTTTCCGGCGGCCCCGCCCCTCTGGCCCTGGGCTTGTGTCGGGCCAAGCCCCCTGCGCCCTTCCCTCTCCTCCACATCTCCCGACTCTCCTGGGCCTCGGGGCACAGTCCCCATCCGGAGGCCCCTCTGTCTGTCCTTGGGGAGCACCGGAGACTCTTCCGTCCCTTCTCTTCAGGGTTTTGTCATCACAAAAACTGGAATGTCAAGGAAAATATCTGGTATTCTGAGTTTATTTAAGTGCAAGGGTGAAAATAGGGCTCATGTTCTCATAATTTCTTCTGTCTTTGTTCATCCCTTAAATTACTACTGGTCAGGATTTCTGAGGATAAAGCCAAATTTTAGGGATGGTTTAATATTTTTGATGTAAGAAAAGAGAAAAGCAAAAATGAATCCAATCATTGATTTATTTACTTTTAATGTCATATTTAGTGAGTCATAACTTGGAAATTCAGTGAGAGTGGGCCCAGAGAATCATGAATATGGACCTCTAATCTGTTGGTGACATATTAGTCGTTAGAGTTCTCATTTAATGTATTTACATTTAATACTTAATGTAAAGTATTTGTGTTGACTTCTTGGCGTACACACTAATAATACATTTCTCTCTGTTCCCTCGGTTCCCTTCAGAAAGGCGATGTCAGGTTCTTGATTTGCACAGATGTAGCTGCCAGAGGAATTGATATCCATGGCGTTCCTTACGGTAAAAATCTTTCCATGCCTGCAGATGGAATTTTATGGAATTTAAAGTAAGCCTAATGTTTTCAGAACATTTAGAAACTAATGGCAGGCGGTAATCACTGATTTCACTTGCAGTTATAAACGTCACCCTGCCCGATGAGAAGCAGAACTACGTGCACCGCATCGGCCGCGTGGGGAGAGCGGAGAGGTAGGTACCGCCGCGTTCGCGTTGTCCGTTGTCCGTTGTGAGCGCCTGGGCTTCGGGAGTGGAGTCTAACGGGGACTTCTGCACTCTTTCAGGATGGGGCTGGCCATCTCCCTGGTGGCGACAGAAAAGGAGAAGGTAATCTTTTCGGTGCCGGCATCACGGTCACCGTGTGCCTTGCCGCTCTAGATGTTCGGAGTAGAAGCGGCAGGGTTCCATCGCCGCGGAATTCGGTTGCGTACAGACCACAAGTGAACCTTTCGTGGCCTCTTTGTTTGTCTGTGTTCATTCAGTGGGCAAATAGGGTGACGGTGAGAAGGGGAAAATGCAAAATGTAGTTTGTCTGAGTGTCTTTAATTATTTTCACCAAAATGTATTGGAACCCTCTCTGGCATGGTGCCATAGAAGATTTGGTGCGGGGAGGGGGGTGTAACGTACTATTTTGATATAATTACAAATTTACAGAAATGTTGCAAGAATAAGGAACTCCCCTGTACTCATTGCCCAAACTAGTTGTTCACTCTGCTTCATGCTTTTGTAGAAGAGATTTGAACTTTACTTTTGATACTTTTCTTGATATAGCATTCGCTAATGTGTACTTTTTCACCCTTGTCTTCACCTGAGAATTCCTTTCTATAACTGCCACCCATTTTAGAAAAACTTGGGTTACTTTCAAGAATTCTAGCAGAAGACCTAGTTGATGAGTTACTGGATAGCGGGGGTCCTTGCTGTACCTGAAGTCTGGTTTCCTGTGCCGTGAGGACAGAAGACACTATAGCACAGACCAGGAGTGGGGCTGCGAGCATGTGCCCCTCTCCACCCACGGTCCCGCTTCTTCCCGCAGGTCTGGTACCACGTGTGCAGCAGCCGCGGGAAGGGCTGCTACAACACGAGGCTCAAGGAGGACGGGGGCTGCACCATCTGGTACAACGAGATGCAGGTGGGCCTCGGGGCCAGTTCAAGGGGGGGGAGGCTGCGTTTACCTGCAGAAGGTGTGTCTCAGCACCTGCCTATGGTCGGCAGGGAAAGTACTGAGTAATTGATACTGATCCATTGTAACTGTGAACTCACCGCTTCAGAAATCCAACTTCCATTTATACGGAGTACAGTATAGCCTCCCTGGTTTTACGTAATGCTCCTAACGTGCAGCTCTGTCAAAATGAGATTTTCCTTTGAAAATGCTTTCCTTTCCTTGCCCCGCCTTAGCTGCTGTCTGAGATAGAAGAGCACCTGAACTGCACCATTTCCCAGGTGGAGCCGGATATAAAGGTGCCAGTGGATGAATTCGATGGGAAAGTGACCTATGGTCAGAAAAGAACAGCTGGTGGTGAGCTCTGAATTACTTGTAGTTCAGGTTCAGGGGTGAATGTGTCCTTTCTGAGCATCGGTTGAAGAAGAGTGGTTTTATTTCATTATTGAAGGGTGGGATTAGCATATTGGTCGCTCCCTCTCTAGTGCTCTCACGGCACCTTTCCCACGCCTGTCTCGCGGCGTTTTCCGCTGTGAGATTTCTGGCGTGAATGGAGCAGCAGCACAGCTGATCCTCTTAATGTCATAAGGGGAGTTGAACATTTGTAGAACTATCAGGAAGCAAGAGTATAAGGGTAATTTTGAATGAAGAACCAGGAGCCTTTGACTTAATTCAAGGCTAACCCAACACACCATTCCCTTGTCCTGGAATGCTCTGTAGCTCATTCTTGAAATATCGTTAGGATTCAGGCTAAACGAGTGGTTTTTCAAGTCGAGGAGGAGGGTGGGGGATGAACGGCGCACGGGGTACTGGGACAGCTGTTAGTGAGGCCCAGTCATTGGTTTGTATCGATTTAACATTTTCGGAACTCTGAGGTTTGGAGATAACTTGCCCAGTAGTGCATTTTCATTGCTAGAAGCAATGTTTAAATTGGTACAGTTGAGCCAAAGTGTTGCTGACAAGTCACTCCGGGCACGGCATTTACGTTCCTCTGTGCTGTGTGTGTGCACGCAGGTGGGAGCTACAAAGGCCACGTGGAAGTGCTGGCACCTACGGTTCAGGAGCTGGCCGCCCTGGAGAAGGAGGCGCAGACGTCCTTCCTGCACCTTGGCTACCTCCCCAACCAGCTGTTCAGAAGCTTCTGATTTTCGCAAACCCCGAGTAAGATTTGAGTGAGAAAGGTCTGTAGCCTCAAAACTCTAAACCAGTTGAACTGCTTCCAAGCAGCAATATTTATAGTAACTGAAGCTGTTAATGCTGACTCTTGCATGTCAGGAAACACGGAACGTTAGTCCTCCGAATTGTTCTTAAAATGACAACCTAACGAAAGTAATAAACTTGGTGATGACTGTATTTTCATGGAGCTTTGCATTGTGTTTTAACGTTATTGGACAGTTCTTTGCGAAGACCGCCGTGGGTTTGTGGAGTGCGGTTTGCAGGTGTGTGAAGGGCAGAGCCCTCCGTGGGACCACTGGGGAGCTTCCTCAGAGGGCGGCTTTCACGGGCTGTGGTCCTCAGTGAGGACCACCCTGGGGTGGCTGCGGCTGTCCCCCGAGTCTGCCTCCAGGTCTGCGGGAGCCGGAGGACAGGGTGTGGGGAGGGAGGATGGATGGTCAGAGGCGGGAGCACAGCTCAGCCCGGGAGCCCGGAGAGCGCCGGGGGGTGGGGCGGTCTGTGTGGGAGGGTCGGTGGCTGACGGGGTGGTGGTGGCGGTGTCTCTGGAGGTTTGCTTGCTTTCTAGGAATCTTTCTTTCCAGATGATACGTACTCGCAAAAATAAAGCTGTTCTGCTGTCCCTCTGGGTCTTAAAATGAAACTTAAATATGGTTATTTGGAATATTTGAGTAGTTCTTTAGTTCCTCTTGCCTAAAATACCAGAAGGGAAAATTGAAATACATATAATTAAATTATTCTTTTATGCCATTTCACTTAGTGTATAAAGCAGCTTCTTGGGGAATTTTTTTTACCCTAGAGATTTCTTAAGAGCACAAGTTACTTTAATTTCTTGTATGATGGTGTCAAACCTTTTAGCACTGAAATATTTTCTTCAGACGTAATCTTGAGTGAGACTAAATAGATAAACTGTGGGAAAACCATCGTTCAGTCATTTCCCGGAGTGCAGCTGTGGTTTGTGTGGAGTGCTTTGAGGATTTCACTCGCTCACACCCAGGCCGCTTTCCTTGCAGGCGCCCTAGGACTCCGTAGCCGGTCTCAAAGCCACGGTGGCAGCTCTTGGCAGCGTTCACCGGCATTATTAGGGCCTTAGAAACAAGGGTTTGATTGACACGACAGCAAAGGCAAGACTAGTACTGTGTTCAGACCAGTACTGGGCCCAAAGGGGTCTTCCGGGTCGTGTGCATGTCCCTGTTTCACAGATGCAGAAGCTGCTGGGTGGACTCAGAGAGGAGTTCATGTGCACGTGGGCCAGCTGGTGGAACTGGAACTAGACCTTGGGCGCCCTGGTGGCAGCTTTCACTCTTTGGTCTGCCTGTGGGCGATGATTCCCGGGTCCCACAGCGGGTAGGCCCGAGGTGCATGCAGGACAGAGCCGGGAGGCGGCGGGAGGGTTTTCTCTCCTCTCTTCAAAGGGCCATCCGACTGGGGTGACCCAGGGAACAGAGTTCCGAGACGAGGAAGCTGCTTGCAGACCAGGCCTGCAAGGGGTTGCCTGGGGACCTGACGGCCCCTGCTCGGCCCCTGCTCCTCATCACCACCGTTGTCCTCTCTTTATCTTGGTCCCCACGTCCAGATGCGCATTCCCTCAGACCTCGGAATGCCTGCTGCGGCTGGAGAGACTGCTCAGGTTTGGCTGTGAGATGTGCCGCTCGCCCCCCTTCCGTTCACACACGCCACCTCCTGGGCTTAGTCGGTGGCTGGCCCGGCTGGAGGCGGGCTTCCCTCGGGCTCTGGTCACTGCGGTGCGAGAGGAAGTGGAGAGCACAACTGGTCACCTTCCACCTGCCCTCCCCCCACCCCAGGCTGGAACTCGCCTGTGGTGTCAGGGAGCCAGTGTCCCCCAGTGGGAGAGAGTCATTCGTAGGGAATGGCAGAGCGGCAAGGCGGAGGAACCCAGGCCACCATCTCGGGGCTGCCCGTCAAGGTAACTCAGGTTACCTGAGCCACTGCAGGTTTAGGCCACTGCCCCGGAGGCCCTGGGAAGTCCAGAGAGGGTCATCTGTTCACCATCAGACGGTAGCATTTCGGACACGGCTTCCGCTTCGTCCGCTCGGTAGTGCGGGAGTTTAGAAGAGAACTCACAGATCTCGAGTCTGTAGCTCTTATGTCCGTCCCTTGTACACGGAAACGCCGGGACGTGCCCCGCCTTCCCCACGGCCATCTGCGTCTCGGCGTGTCCCTCCTGAAACCCCTGAGTCCTCCGTCCACTGTCCGTCCTCTCTGGAGTGGCCTTTGGGCTTTGACGCTAGTCACACTATCTATATCTATATGTCTATATCTATATCTATAGTGACCGAAGTGGTTCTGTGTTGGGGGGAATTTTTTGTCATTTCACATTTTAGTGCGCTTATGTGAGCATCTCTGACCTGGGTGTTGTAGCCACGGCGTTGCTAGCCTGGACGACCCTGTCGGCCTGTCTTGGAACAGGCCCGCCTGAGGGTCTCCATCCCCTGGTGGCTGCCGTGAGAGGACCGATTCCGAAGGACTCGAACTGCTGGCATGGGCTGCAAGCCTGCGGGAGCTCTCTGCGCCCCAGTCTCATCCTGTCTTTTCCTGCAATAAACAGGAATGCGGAAACCTCAGATTAGAGTAACCCCGCCCCTTCCTACCTTTTATTTATCACCCCACTCCCACAGGAATTCAGCGCCAGCCCCATGGTTCGTTCCTTTTTCCTGCACATTTTTGTGGTGTACAGTTTAGATCCCACTGTATGTGCAGAGTTACACCCTCACTCAGTGTGAGTACTGTTCTTGTTCCAAAGACTTCAGTGGCTGCGCGATCCACCAGCGTGCTGGGGCTGGCTCACCGCTCCCGGGCTTTGGGGGACTGAGGACGGAGGGAACCTCTGACGCCCGCCCTGGGTGCAGGCCCAGCTCTCCCCCTTTCTAGCAGGGGGACAGAGGCAGGGTCCTTTGCCTGTCCAAGTTTCTTTGTTTATAAAAATGGTGATTCTAATTCGCATCATTCAGGATTCTGTTAAGCATTCCGCCCAAGTCCGGCAGATAAGAGGCACACCATGCTTTATCGTGTTCACACCGTTCACATTTTGCCTGCGTTACCGCCTCGTGTTTCTCTGCGAACATCTTTGTGTTTTGGACCGTGTCCTTCTGCCGGGTTCCAACGACTTTAATTCCCGGGTCGGACTGGAGCGGATGAACCCATGACTGCGTCTCAGGGGTTGTCAGCAGGCTGTGTTCTGCGAGCGTCGTGCTAGTTCAATGTAGGAAGAAGTCGGTACCATTCATTTTGCAGACTGAAACCATACGCGTTGCACTTAAAGCCTGTCCGTGCCCTGTGTCCTCCCTCGGGGTGTGGGCGGGGTGTGGACGTGGAGGGCGGAGAGGCGGGCTGACATCTGGTGTAGCCCGTCCGCACCCCGCTCCTGCCCGCCACCCTCACTGCGCGGCCCACGGGGGCGCCCAGGCTTGTAAAGGAGGTACGAACCTTCTTTATTTTGGGGGTAGACGTGCTCGTGGCAGTGCCTGAGGACAGCCCAGATTAAAAAAAAAAAAGTTAATTCCCAGCCAATTCTAAACAGGCAAACACCACGGAGTCACATTTTCACCTCCTTCTTTTGACTCAAGGGGGACGCGCACTGGAGTGCCGTTTGGAGGCGAGGTGTGAAATACGGCCAGTGTGTTGGTACCTAATATGAGACCTGGGGCAGGTCCCCCAGGACAGTGCTTTCGCCATTTCCCTGCAGATGCTGACGATTTCTAAAGGGTCACTGGGGACGTTGTCCCAGTGAGCCTTATTTGGGGGAGAAAGGAATATTTGTTAGAAGGGGAAAAAAATGGAGTGGAACAGGAAGGAAAGGGAGGGGATTTTGCTGTTCCAGAGTAATTGATGGAGGATTCCTTTGAAGGGAGGAGGGGAAGGGGAATTTTTGCTCTTCCGGTCTGCTGCCTTAAATAATTACCTTTCATGCACGGTCCCCTCAGACTCTGGTTTTTCTGACAGCGGTTTCGGTCTCACTGGTCGAAAGCGTTGAGGAGAATTTGAAAGGATCTGGAGTCGGACAGGCGTGGACTGGATGCTGGCGATAGTTCTGACTTCGGGGCTAGCTCAGTCAGCATGCGGGGGGTGGGGACCCTTAGTTCTGCAGGGGGGCCCTGGCGTCTGCATTTCAGCCAGCTCCTCCGATGATGGAGGTGCAGCTGGACCTCGAACCACAAATTCGGACTCAGAGACGTGGCTGTTAGAGCTTGAATTCTCCCTGCAAGACGATGCAGAAGGACCCCTGAGAGACCGATGCTTGCTGTACCAGAACCGCCCTCAGACCCGAGACAAGCACCTCGGTTCCTCCCCTTCGCTCAGTGGCTTTCACTGGGGGATCGCCCAGGGGGCGTTCAAGGGAAGGACCAGCATCTCCCTCCCCTCCAGGAACTCCAGCCTGTTGGTCTCCGCGGGGCCTGGCACCCCCCCTCCCCCACCACTCACACAGATGCGGCTGCAGCGCCAGGGTGGAGCGCTGCCGCTTTACGCTGAGCCTGACCAGGGTGTCGTGTGCTCCTGCTGCAGACCACTGTGGGCCCCCCTGCAGGTGCCCGCGTGGGTGCGTGTCCTGATGTTAACTTGCTGTCATGCTATGCAGTGGGCTGTAGAGAAAAACTGATCAAAACAGCACCACACATCTTTTCCCAGGAACTAATAAGATTATTTTAAAAATAAATTTTGGCCCTGGCTGGCGTAGCTCAGTGGATGGAGCGCTGGCTGCGAACCAAAGTGTCGCAGGTTCGATTCCCAGTCAGGGCACATGCCTGGGTTGCAGGCCATGACCCCCAGCAACTGCACATTGATGTCTCTCTCTCTCTTTGTCCCTCTCTAAAAATAAATAAATAAATAAAATCTAAAAATAAATAAATAAATTAATTAATTTTGTGGCTGGTTGAGTTTAGTTTCCTTCAAAATAGTCACTTTGGGGATTCAGACAAATCTTCCATTTTCAAAAGTTGTTTTTGTTGTTTTTTTTTAATTTTAGACATTGCCACTTTGCTTTTATTTAAAACATTTCTGCTGCTTTAGACAGTCACTTTATAGGTGTCTGGAAAGTATTGGTTCAATTCATTCTTTTGACCATAAATCTTACTCCCCAGCTTGGTAACTCACCCTGTGCACCAGAAAGACTCTGGCCGGCGATTAGCCGTTTGTTTCCGTACATGGAATCCCAGTCGGAG